GAGTTCCTGCCAAAAACTGTTAGCTGTTAATCTTCCGGCCAAAGGCACTGTGCAGGTGCAGAACCCATATGTGTGACTGCACAGATGGCCACTCGAAGAACATCAGTTACAGGTAAGCAACCTGCTCTTCTTGATCTTGGAAGAAGGAATGTCATGTAATATTAAAAATATTTATATGACAATTAAGCTTCACATTATTCTGCTTGATTTCCAGAGTTTGTGTTCAGTTGTTGAGCTATGGTTATGTTTGGACACCCCAGATGACCCATTGGCAAATGTTTATGTAATCAACATGCTTCAACCAGTTGTCTAAATTTACTCAGATCATCTTTTTAAAGACTCTTAGGAAAAAAAGGAAGAAGCCATGATTTGGCAACAAGGGCTAAACTATATGTGATCTTAATTGTGTGAATGAAATTAATGTGCATTTTATTCTAGGTAAACAGGAATGGAGGGGAACACCGAGTAACCTCAGGACCTTGGGAAATGAAGAGAATACGATTCCACTGTCATACTCCTGACAAAAATGGCCCCCCAGAAGCTCCTGTTTATATTCTGCTTAAAGCCTGCATGGTCACCAATAGAATCTCCTGTTAAATTCAAATAGCAGTTTTGTAAAGGTGATAAGAATTATACTTAACCCAAGGTTGCTCAAATTTCACTTTCATATAACAAAAATAAAGTTACATGAATGCAGTGAATATCTAGTTCGGTCATGAACTAACTTGATGTAATAGACTGTGAAGTATTGTACTTGGAACAAAGAGACTTTACTTCCGCATTGAAACTCACAGGCGACTTTCGACCATTCTGCATCTCTCAGGCTATTCTACCTCACAGAATTGTTAAGAGGATAAAATGGGAGAAAGGGAAAACTGCACTTGCAGCCTTGAGCAACTTGGTGGAATATTAAGTGCCTAGTCGGGTCAGGGCTGAATGATAAAGTAAGGCAAAGGGTGCCTTTCATATTTACAGTGACTTAACTGTGTAGATTAGTTTATGTTACACTGTGTTTCCTGTATTTGGCAAGACACTGTATTTTTCTTGTATACCCCAGGAAAAAACTTGACTTCAGTGTCAGAAAAGATAAAAATATATGTATATTATCCATTTTACCTATTACTGTTTCAACCACTCCCTTATCACTCTGCATAGATTTTTTTATCCTTGCTATAGAATAGATTTTTGCATTGCTACTGCTAAAAGCAAACTTAATGGTTTTGATAGATGCTTACTTTTATGCCCCTGACTATTACCTTGCTATGTTATAATTATCAACAGAAACAGTCCCGTGTTTGAAATAGGAAATAGATCAATGTTATAAATACTTGCTTATTGTGTTTTGAATCTAAATGTTTGTTTAATTTTCAGTGTGATTACTAAAAAAATGTGCCAGTATGTAACCAATTTATCTGAAGGACTCATATACCTGTTCAATTGTGTGGAGGGGGAAGTATATGTAATGTTTTTGCAGAGAGGAAAAGGACAAAATTCTGGTTATATTGGCAGGACAAAATTATTTTTACTCTTATACATTTATCTTTAAAGATATCATAGTGCTAAGATAGCAGCATAAATCTGCACTCAGTAGAGGCAAAGTTCTTAGTTCTACTTTGAATGGGTGGGCATGGGGCTTCCTGATGTGGCTGGGAAAGGATCTCCATTCCGTATGCCATCCATCTCAATGGGGAAGTGTGTGTCACATCAGAGACTGACATTCCAGCATGCATCCTGGGGAAAGGAACTTCTTTCCACAAATATTTCAGCAGATTTGCAGGATGTGGTGGCTTCCAATAATAGAGTTGTTTGCCACAAGCCACAGTTGCATCTATTATAAGCCAAAGTGCCTATATCCAAGGCAATGAAATCTGAGTGTTAGAGAGTAACCGAGCACTGTTTCTTTGGATTAGATAGGAACTTGCACCTTACCCCTGTGGGGAGAGAGTATCTAAAATATAAAGCTACCTGTAGCTTACTTTGTACCTGTACAATCTAACTGAAACTGTTGTGGTTTGTTAAGAAGTTCATACTGGTTCACTTAATATGCCAGTCCATTTGTGATGATTTATCATTAGTTGACCAGTGTGTCATGGTTTAAGAGAAGCCTCTGCTTACAGCTGTTTTTCTAAAACTCAGGGATATAAATATTTCCTAAAATTCTGAGATACAAAAAATCTTTTAATTTATATGACTTTTAAAGACTGCCTGTATATATGAAAACAGGTCAATAGGGACAAGAATTGCACACCTTGTTCCTTGCAAACTCTAATAAGCCTACTTTTAAAGCAAGGAAGGTGTTATAGACTCAAATACATTAATCTGTTTGCTTTCAACTCTCAACTATGTCTCAAGATAAATTGCTAATCTTTGCAACGTATTTGTAACGATTCCGTTCATGGCATTCCATAAGATGTAATTGTACTACTTGCCAGTTTGTAAGTTCTTAGTAGACACTGAGAATGAGACATTTGCACTTTGTATTTGGGCTATATTTTTGATGTACCATATTAATCCCTAATATTGCTGTGTGTGGTCCAGTGAAGGAAGGAAGGCTATGCCTACCCTGATACAGTGGTCTTCCTAATTTTTAATGAGGTAGATACCAGGTCAACTGTATATCTTCACTTTCATGGTTGCATCTGCCAGATCATCCTAAACTCCACTGCAGTCTACATTATTTTGTACATTATGTCTTCTTTCAAGATTAATTTTAATAATAATTTTGGAGAAGTAAGCATTTTAGATGTAGAGTAGGAGAAAATAGAATAGAGGGAGGAAGGGATTATCAACTTGCCACTGATAATTTCTTACATTTATATATAACTTTTTCTAAAAGCTCAAAGTGCTTCATATGTGAACTTCCAGAGAGCCTTTTTGGCTGATGGACAATATAGAAATTTTATAAATAAGTATGTTGCACTGAAGCAAATGTTTTACACTGATGCTCCTCTCCCTCACACATGATGACTCCACCCAACTGCTGGAGGGCATTATTACATAATAATGGCATCATGGCCTGCCATTATTATGTAATGACTGTTTCAATCCTTTCTTAAAAGTATTCCTGACTCAGTAGGGAAAGCATTATTATTCCCTATTACTCTGTGAATGTGTGTGGAGGGGTGAGGAGTCCCGAGGCTGAAGGTCACTCATTTTTATTAGACTACCAGTGAATTAATGGATTAGGTTAAACTTGGACTGGGGAAGAAGTCTCTTTTTCAAGCATAATTTCTTAACCACTATGCTATACTAGCTTGATAGTGAGGGGGAAGCAGGGGATAGTAACGGTAAGAGCAGAGAACTGGATGTGGCCATTCTGCCATGGCTCATACTATTTTTTGAGATTTCATCCAACTCTGCCCCACTACCTTTCCAGTAATGCAGACTGAGAACTGGCTTCAGTTTTCAAATTAAAACTAACATTAACAGCACAGTAGACCATATGCTCCATTTCCATTGTTTCTGAACTCTCCATCAGAGACTGACTTCACTTCTGATGTATACCTTCTGGAATGAAAACTGTTCAAATAGGTAAATACTGTGTCAAAGAGAGATCTTCATGCTTGGCATGTCTGGACATAACAAAACATTTAAAACGAATACATGCTATACTTTATTTTCTTGTGGGAAGACAATTTAACTAGTGTATTGTGATGCTACTGTAGACAGTTGCAAATTGCATTTTAGCCCTGAGATTTTTGTTTTGTTTTGTTCCAAGAACCTTATTATATTTGAAATAGTACTTTGCAAAAGGTTAACTAGACCAAGAACAATGATTGATGACAATTGACAGCAAAATATCCTTTACTTAAATTGAACAGTATGCTTTAACTTCAACTCCACACTAAATAAATCTGATTAAATGTAGATTTTGAAAATGTGTCTGTTGTTGTGAAATGGTTATGTGAGAAATATAAAGAAACATAACTTAGGAGAGAATTCATGCACAATGTGGAACAGAAATCTGCAGTTGTATTATGACCATGAATCTCAAATACATAGGCTTGAATAAAAGCATTGCTAAAATTAATGTAGTCTCCAAAGTGCATGTAGCACGTCTGCAAATTGTGATGTTAAGATGCAGCTGTATACTACAACAATAATAGGCTTGGTGCGGATATAACACTGCTCATCATTTAACCATGGCTCAGGGATTGGGACTGGCCCCAGATTTGTGTTTTCCCTCCTTCTGAAGACTTCCTAATCAAGCTTGAAATCATAGTTTGCCACCCTGCTTAATAGGACACATGGTGATATTAGCTACAGTTAATTCCAGTGGATGCCATAACAATAAACATGATTTAAGAAAGAAAGAAATGGGTGCTGGGGAGGTAAGGAGAGAAGAGTACATGTACCTTTTAACCATGGTTAAAAGCTTGGAAGCACTCTGTCTGCAATGGGTCAATCTCGCAGCCAGCCACTGTCTAATGTTACCTAGTTTGCCTTCTAAATCACAGTTCTACTGAGTTGTCTTTGCATTTCTGCCAGGACATAGAATTGCATTGGTATTAGAAATTATAGAAATAATTTTACTCTGTATTACATACTTAATGTTGTGCATATTATGTATATAATGCATGTCATGATAGTTGCAGTGATCCACTGCCTGAGTTCTGATTTCGGATCCCAAATGTACAGGGAAATGCATGGTTTAACATACAAAGCTAAGACCTATTCCTGAAAGATGGGTATAAGGAAATACTAATAAAATCCACACATCTGAAGGCTGGAGAATTTTAACCATGGTACAGATGTAACACTTAACCATGGCTAATCCAGTGGAAGCCATGCTTTTCAAACTAATTTCAAACACTATATTTCCTATCCCACTTTGTGGCCAGTTGTTAAGTATTATGTCTGACTATCTAATCCATGGTTTTATCAGCAATTAACATAAAGATGCCTACTCATAGTTGAAATCAGATGATGGATTTTTATGTACCTCCCTACTTACCAACCAAGGAGTAATATTTTATGAACTATGTTTTATTTTCTTACAGGTGTATGACTTAGATGGAATCCCTTTGATCCTGGATAACTGCACTATTGATGACAATAATCCTTGTATCCTTTGAACAGCGTTGTAAACTGATTCAGATACTGGAGTTCCATATACAAACACTATGAGAGTAATGAAGAATTTTCCTGGTGCCTTAAAAAGTTCTTAAAAACCCTACTCAAAAAACAAACAAAATCAGCTGTAATATTCCAAAGATAATATGGGGTAAGTTTTCTTTCATGCTAAGATGACCTTTACAATTGCTTCTTTTGAAGGGTAGTAATCAAGTGGAGAAACTACATCTTTTTAGACAGTTTTAAAACAAACTGGGCTAGTTGATCTTCATTATGTCCTGTTTTCTAACTTTCTGAATATCCCAGATTCATTGTTGTCACTTTACATTAGGACTTGTAATTGAATCTAACCAAACTTGGTCATTGTAGCTAGTCCTGAAGCTTTTGCTTCAGCTGACATTTGATCAGTCAACTGAAATAAACAGTTAGATAGGTTAGCTTGCAGCACATCAATTTTACATACTTGATTAAATTTGACCAGTGGGGAGAAATATTTTCAACTCAGAAATCAGGTAATTCTCTGGTGAAAGAAAAGTCCTGTTGTTAGGACTGGTTAGATAAATTCTTGTCAAAACTGGAGGCTGTTAGTCTTTGATACTTGGTCTTACTGAACATATCCTTTCTAAAGTGTAGTGATAGTGATATTAATGTTAAAGAAAGCTTTTGTTGAAAGTGTGTGCAACCCTGGTCGTGTACACCTGAGAATGCAGTTCCGTTGTGAGAGTAACCTGCTTAAATATTATGAGTACTATGTAATTGTTATGAGTATCCAGTAAAGCTTTCAATTTAGTGTCCACAATATTGATGAAGTTTGAGCTGAAAAGAAATAGGTATGGTTGATAGTAAGAGATAATTGTGTAAACTGAAGCAGTGAGGGAGAAAATAATTAAATCTTTCCGAAGAAGTGAAATGAGTCTTATTCACTTCCTTTTTGGGTTGTTTTTTTCTGAATGTACCTTAGATGAAGTGTGGTAACTAGCCAAGGTGAGAGAACTTTCCAGAAATGTTAGGAATTATCTCCTGCCCATCCCCCAAATATACTTTGGCTTTCTTCAGAATTCTTCAGTTGATTGGGTGAGAGGACATTCCAAATTTGTTTGAAGTTCAGCTGCACTTCAAGCTGCTACACAGATGGACAATACTTAGTGGTATTGGTTATCCAGGGTCACACTATAATTGTGGTTTGTGATAAATCTTTACCAGGATGTAATTTAGGCATGAATAATCTGACTGGATATCATTCCTTTGTTTTTTTTAACAGAGGGCTAGATTGAATATCATCTCTTGCTTAATTTTTATGAAAAACTGACACTTGAACTGGAGCAGTTTTCCAATGTTGTTTTGTTAGACTGTTGTACACATGCTTTTCATTTTTGTAATATTTAGCAATTCAAACTGATTAACAGACTGTATCTCCCACGACCATTATGAATGCTGATATATACCATCTATACAAAATGCATTCTTAACTCATAGTTGCTATCATTGCCAAAAAAATCTACTAATTTCACAGATAATATTCAAATACAGTAGACTGATCATGGGTTTGCACTGTTTTTCAGCATGTGGATACATTAAGATTGTTACATGTCTTATGGCATATTCAGAGGAATTGCTTAGAAATGTAGGGAGAATCCATAAAGATGTGTGCCTCAGACTATTTGTTCATGCTGTGGTGGTGCTGTGACTGTGAATCTGAGAATTGAACACTCTTATCAAAGTTTTATTTATTTATTTATTTATTAAAACATTTTTATGCCGCCCCATTCGCCGAAGCCTCGGGGCGGCTTACAACATAGATAAAACAAGTTAAAATCCATATAAAATAATCTTAATTAAAACTCACATTATAAAATAAGCCGCCCTGGCCAGATAAAATTCAATTGTATTTAGCATTTAAAATGTTGCTTAAATAAAAAGGTCTTAGCCTGGCGCCGAAAAACAAATAACGACGGCGCCAGGCGGACCTCTCTGGGGAGCGCATTCCATAACTTAGGCGCCACCGCTGAGAAAGCCCTTCTCCGAGTAACCACCCTCCTAATTTCTCTCACGGAGGGCTCCCGGAGAAGGGCCTCTCCCGCCGATCTCAGGGGGCGACTGGGCAAATATGGATGTAAGCGCTCCTTCAGGTAACCAGGACCCAAGCCGTTTAGGGCTTTATAGGTCATTACCAACACCTTGAATTGGGCCCGGACTTCAATGGGGAGCCAGTGAAGCTGACGGAGAACTGGCGTCATGTGAACATAACGTCCAGTCCCCGTCAGCAGCCTGGCAGCTCTATTCTGAACCAATTGAAGTATCCGGACCGTCTTCAAGGGTAGCCCCACGTAGAGCGCGTTACAGAAGTCAAGACGGGAAGTCACCAGCGCATGAGTCACTGTTGCAAGGCAGTTTTAATTTGAAAATGGTTTGTAAGAATCCCATGTAAAACTAAATTCAAAAGTATATACTATAATTTTACTGGATTTCACTTTTACCAAACCCTATGAAAATCTAAAGAATGTGTGTATGGGTGGGGTCTGTGTGTGAGACACAGCAAATCCCATTGGAGGGCATACTTATGAGTAAACATGCCAGTAACTGAGTTGTTGCTTGTGTGTGTATATGAGAAATCAGAGCTTCCAGATTTCAGTGCTCAGATAGCAGGGGATGGTAGAACGAGAATACATCCAGCCCTAACTTTGAATCATGGATGGTCCCAGTTGTCAGCTAGAAAGTCAGAAGCAAAGGATAAAGAGCAGAGAATCTGAGTTTTTCTGTGTTGAATCAGAAGTATCATTCACCTAGAACAGTGATGGCGGACCTATGGCATGCATGTCTGAAGGGGCATGCAGAGCCCTCTCTAGCAGCATGTGATTGCCCCAGCAGCCATGCACATATTCGGAAAGATCAAGGGCGTCAGGCAAGGACATCCCTCATTAGCCCTGACTCCACGAGCTTTCGCATGGCAGGTCAGTGAGCTGCCAGGGAATTATTTGGACTGTGATTTTAGCAAAAGGTAGGAAAAGTAGAAAATACACTCAGGAAGGAAATACTCTCAGATGCCTTTTTCAGGGCCGGCCAAAAGCTGGTGGTCAGTGGAACGTTGCCCCGTTGTGCTGGTGGTCAGCAAATTCAGGTTGTATTGCAGTGTTGACACTTTGTGATAAATAACTGGGTTCTGAGTTGCAGTTTGGGCACTTGGTCTCTAAAAGGTTCACCATCACTGACCTAGAAGGAAAAGGAGATGGAGAGGTGCTGAAGCCTAACTTTTTGGGGAGCTGTTGATAAAAGCAGTGTGCTCAGTGCTTTCTGCTCAGTCCCTTCTCCAGTGTCTTGGCAGCTGTGTGTTATTGCCGTAGTTGCTTTTCCCCACATTCCTGGCAAGTTGGCCTTGGAAAGAAGGGTTGCCAAGTAAACACAGCCTGAATTGCTTGCAGGTCCACTGAAGAGAAGTAGACACTGGGCATTGCTGCTGCTGTTGGGGAGGCAGGGAGATGGTGGCAGCTGAGGTTCTTCTGGTGCTCTGATTAATAGAGCTCTTGCTGCAGATCAGCTTCCCATTTTCAGTGGAGCATGTGGAGCATGTAGTAGAGCAACCCAAACATACACATAGGTAGTGAGGCTAGGAGACTTCCAAAAGTTAGCAGAACCCAGCAGTATACAAAGAAGACCTATACCTTCAACTATGATCTTCCTCCTACCATGGCTTCTGTGGGCCTCTCATTGGCAATAACAGGCTTATATGAATTTGTCTCAGAGTGCAAGCTGAAATGGAAAATGAGCTTTACATCCCTTCAGACATTACTGCGGTGTTTATCTGGTAAGCCCACCATCTCAGCCACTCAATATGTGATTTAAATACTGGTTAGAATTTAAATGAAATACTAATTTCATTCAGTTTTGTGATGCAGCAAGATCATTCCCTGATCATTCTAAAAAGAAAATGGAGAAACATAGGTATTTATTCTAAACATATAGAATGCTTTGTAGTTCAGAATTAGTGGCTTAAGGTTGCAGCCACAGTGGTCATCTTCTACAACTGCCTTTACATATTGTACATACAGTTTTGTGTGCATTGGTAGCAAAAGGGTCTGATGATGGTATACACTTTAATGTTTGGTTAATGAAAATAAGGGGCTCTTTGATTTGGATGATCTTTATAGCAAAGCTTCTGTCTTATGTTAACATTACCCTGGCAAATCTTTCTATAACAACATGCTTGAGGAAAAAAATGGTGCTTCTGCTCTTGGGTGATTATGCAGCTGGCCACTTAGAAGGAGCAAAAACTGGCAGCATTTCTGAAAGGAAAACCTGTGATTTTCTTTGCTGTCTTATTGCAATGGTTGCTGTGTTTCCACACTTCCAGAGCCTTTAGTTTGGATAAAATTCTGAAAATATAGATACGAACTTCTTTTTACATATAGTCATTTGAAGAACACTTTCTATCATTATATTCAGTCTGACAGTCATCTCAGAGGTAGATTCAAAATACTTTTGACCTCATGGCAATGGTTAGTATAATTCTTCGTCGTGGCCTCTGTGCATCACACATATGGGTTCTGCGCCTGCGCAGTGCCTTTGGCCGGAAGATTGAAAGCTAACAGTTTTTGGCGGGAAGCTCCGCTCCCCTCCCCCATGGGCTATAAAGAGCGGAGCGTCCGCCATTTGTTCAGTCTTTGTGACCGCCGTTCGCTGTGCCTCGTGCCGCTTTCGTCTTTCGCTTGACCGTTTCCTCGTAGCTATTGTCTTCTTTTCATTCCCAGTTTTTATATCTCTAAAACTCGTTACTTCTAGTTTCTTCTTCTATCATTCTAGTGCTCCATTTCTCCTTCTAAAAAAAAAACAAAAAAACAAAAATATATTCTTACCCTCTGCACTGTCTTCCTTTTTCTTCTTCTTGTGATGGCGCAGCGAGCGGCCTTCCGCAAGTGTGCAGAGTGTGGATCGAAAATGTCTCCATCCGACCCGTACGATCTATGCCTCCTCTGTTTGGGGGAGGGGCATAGGAC